ACCAATTGTCTTCAAATACAAAGAGATACGAACAGAGCAGAACTGGAAAAGGCAAAAGTCATCATATGAATAATGAACAAAACCCTGCCAAACAAATATGAAGATGTAAAAACACTAGGACAATGCTTCATATTTCAAATTCTCTTCAAAATTATTTTATTCAGTATTTTACAAACAATATCATAGTTTTTATAAGAAAGTACATCAAGAATCAACTACTTGAAATCAACTTTGTTACATTTCAGAATATTTACATTCATAGAAGAAATGGGTCTTTGATTTTTAAAAATATTTGGCTTTCTATATATATATACACACACACAAAGCTGTAGGCAACAGTGGCATATTAGTGGTTCAAGGTGCATTTGCAAGCAAGGCACTATGCTGTCATCTAGTGTGATAAAATCATTTTATTCAAGTTAAGGACTAAGCTGTCCAAGTTTATGGCCCACTCCTCAAGCATGCCAGTAACTTTATTCACAAGATTCAGCCCACCAGTTGAAAGGGGACCACTCCAGTGAATAAACTTACTCATTTACTTAGATGTTTGCACATTTAGGGCCATGGAAGGCAATGAACAAGACACTGTGGGTAACAACATAAAAGGGCATAGCTGTATTGTCCAGCCAGGTGCCTATGACAGTAATCACTAGCAGCTTCCAAGATGCCAGCCATATGGTAGTGGTGTTATACTGGATCTAGTGCTGTTACAGCAGATCTCCTGAAGTAATTAAAATCTCTAGAAGGAAAATGTTTTCCCCAAACATTGGATGAATAAGAATTTGCAATTTTCAGTGTTGCCTGCATGTGAAAAAGCAGTATGCACGTAAGTGCTGTTTTCTGTAGCACCAAGGAAGGATTACGTGATTTAAAGCTTAAGACTGGGAATCAAAAGCCCCAGTTTTATACCTGACAATGTTACAGACTTTTGCTGTGCCCAGCAGCAAGTCACCACCACTCTGGGCCTTTCTTTGCCTATCTTGGGAATACAAAACAGCGCACTTACAAACAAATTAAATGCCTCATGTGCTCCAGGCTCACCTACTACAGAAGGAAGAAGTATTAGAATTATATAATAAATGTTACATTCAAAAGTAAACAACAAATTCTAATTAATGGTTTCAAACTACAGATAATCCTGCTAAGCATCTATGTAAGTCTTCACAGACACTTATGAAACCCTGTTAAGGTGGTATTATCTCCTTTTTATGAACAGGGTCACTGAGTTCTTGAGGTTAAGTGCTTTGTCAAGAGTTAGAAGATCCTATCCCAATCAACGTAATACTAAAAGGAGGTGAAAGGCAAACCATGTCTTTCAAAGACCATGACTGAGATTGTGTCCTGATATACAGTACTTTAGGTCTGAAAGATTCATTCTGAACACTTCATGTTCAAAGGTTAAATACAATGTGATGCTATCAGAACATCCTGCATGCATCTACAACTGGGCTTAGTCCCCCACCAAACATTATTAACTGCTCACTGATCTCACTGATAACAGTTTAGGAGGGAATGCCTTGGTTAGATTTTGAGTTTGAATCCTCTAAAATTGGTGCATCCGCTTCCATGTAATCTAGAGGACCTACAGGTTTAGACAGTATAATAATGCAGAACCCCACACTAACACCCAATATTAAATACCCATGCTCCTAACAAAGGCACAAAGGAGGGTTTTCCATTTTTTAGAAGACCAGCAGGGAGAAAGAGGCATATTTTGACATCAGAAAGGCATATCACTGGTTTGACATATCTGTGCTGGCAGCAAAATTGGGAGATTTTTCAAGTCAGCTGGTTCAGTCAATGGTCTTAAGATTGCTTAATGAACTGTGGAGCATTAAAAAAAATTCAAGAAAGAAAACTGCCTTCAAGTAACAAAATAGAATAAATCAGTGGAAAAAGCAATCAGTAAATAAAATGTTAATAATGTGTTAGATCTTGGCCAAGAATTAGTTCTAATTTTAGAATATGCATCAGCTGCAAGTACATATGCATTAAGACCTCTTTTGAAACAATTCCCAACAACCTCATGCTCAGGAAGAGGTCAAAGGAATACAGTAAGCCAGTTACATAAGTAGAGTCATTATTGAGAACTCACAACTGATGTCTTCCACTTCAAACTCTTGTGGCTACCAGCCTCTTGCTGTAAAGTACAGGAAAAAGTATGCTTTCATATGCTGCCGCCCATGTCAGTTTAGAATGGTTCTTCTTTTTTTATTTAACTACACATGTCTGCACTAACTTCTAGGATATCACTGTGATTAGATTTGTCTGTTTTATAGTGAATGCATAAAATGGGCACAGAAATGGCAAATTACACCATGCAAGACCAAGCTTTAGAATATTTCAAAGGCTTTTATTAAACAAGGCCCCATATTAAGGGGGACTCATGGTTTCATACATGGTCCTGCTACATAGATTTGCCATGTTGAGGCCATTGTGTAATCTGGAGTGAGGCTTTAAAACATTCACTTTAGGTTGACTACATTGTGCACTAGCTTCAAGTCATACAGTATGCTATAAAATGCAGTTGCCAGGGATGCACCACTGTCAAGAAAAGAGCAGCCCTCTGAATCAGCTGCATCTAACTGGTTACAGCACATGGAAACATATTTAGATTCTTGCCCACCCTCCAAAGACCCACACAATGCAACATAATCCAACCTCAAGGGCACAGAAATAGTCTTATCTATGATACATTAACACTGGCCAACTTCTGGCTACACGTTTACAGGTACAGACAGGAGGAACTAGACAATCCAATTACTTATAGTATATACATGTGGATGTGAGAAAGTGAGACAAAAGAGGAGGGTCTACACATTCTCCTATAAGGCAGGAAGTAGTGCACCAAAACTGCTGCTACAGCATGATCACCAGGTAAAGGAGCAAGAAATCCTGGTTATCGAAATGTTTAGCAAATGCTAAATTTAAAAAAATGGAAGAAACCAGTAGTAAAACGTAAAATGTTTGTAAACTGCATTACTAGCTTTGATTATAAAAAGGTTAGATTCTAGTTATTAAACCATAAAAAGTACCACAGAATGTCTCCAATAGATTCATCTCTTAAACTTTTCCAACCAAAAATACTGCACTTTCAGAATTGTGCAAAATGAGACGCACAGAAAACAATTTCCTGAAAGAAATACAGATAATACCTAGACAACTTCTGTTTCTTGGTATTATTTTCATCATGATTTCTTGTTTTTTTGCACTTTTTTTTAAATGTCATGGATTTCATGATATTTGTAAGAAAACAAGTTCACATAAAATGATGCTATTGGCACTTAGTCAAGACATTTTTACTGTCAGTAACACCCATGCAGTTCCACTGCCTTCAAGTCAGTGCAGCCACACAGATGTAAAGGAGCCAAATTTAGCCATCAAATGGAAAAAAAAATGACAAAAAGGAAATTAAAAAAATCTCATGAAAACAGACATTTGTTTGCTCCCTAAAACAAGCTGCACAAAGGCTTTAAGACCAACTTAAAGGATTAGCTTGTAATGTATTCTAGAAGTAAAACAAAAAAACAAAAGATAACACCTATTTGCATTGTTTAAAATAAATGTGACTGGAATAAACCACATCCCAATATCAGGTGTAAACAATTTCACCCTGTGGCCGTGTTAAAAAGGTATTTGACATGCAGTGTGCTACCAAAATGTAACTAGTGCAAACTCTTTGCATTAGAAAATGTATTCCAGCTAAGATAAAACACAGTTTTCAAATTTGTTTCTCTATGCCCTTAGACCACCACGGCTACAACCTACACCCCTTTCTCAGCGTTTTCCATTTTTTCCATGCCTGAATTTGTTCAGAAATGTGTCATGGACAATGCAACCTCTGTGAAAATGTATACCATTAGAAAACTGTCAAACCAAATGTTTTTGCTACCTTTATCTTTTAAGTAAGCTTTTTGCTCTGGAATGGTGGTGTCTGTCTGTCAAGCAATCCAACATCATTGGCAGTCTTTTGTTACTAATTAGTACAAGTTGGCAAGTTTTAACTCTTGCTGATATGCAGTATGTTTTGTGAAGGTTCCCTAAGGACTGAAGTCACTCCAGACCTCATCTTCAAGCACCTTTGTACACAGAGTTTCATCGTTATTTGAAGATGCAGACTCTGACTCTGTTGATCACATAGCGCTCAGTATAACTGACATATTAAACAAGTGCTGACAGAGATTTCAGGGAGGGACCTCCAGTATTTGTGTTCATATAAAATGGAACCTACTGAAAACTGTGTTTAATAAATAAGTTTATAATTACAGGAAATGAAACGTTGCCACTAGCACTTTCTGGTAGAAAAATTAAAGAAAAGTCTCTACTTTTCAGTCCATCATGAAGTATGCAGTGTAGATGCATCAAACAGCTGTGCTTTTAAGAATCACGGGACTTTCTTCTTCATCCTTTGAAACCCTTGGACCACTAGATGAATGTCTGTATTTGATTCTGTAAAAAATGGAAAAAATAACTGATAATACAACACTCCTGAAAGAAACATCCTCTGAAATCCCAAAGTTAGTTTGTCTGTAGGAACTCTGATTCAGGAACATAGGCATGTGTCTGACTTTAAAATATCCCGTTGACTTTAATGGTACAAATCACACCTTAGGCTATAAATGGACAACACCAAATGAAGACGGTCAGCTGTGCTGGGGTGTCCCAGAAAAAAATGATCCACTTCACTGGGTGACACAGCTGTCATCAATTATCCACAGGTTCAGGGCCCTACTGCTCCTAAGGCCCAATCCTGCAGGACAACTGCAAACAGGGGAACCCACTGCCACACCCCAACTTGGGATGCACCTCTGTCAATGGGGGAACCACCCAGGGCCATAAAAATGTGATGTGTGTGTGTCCAAGGAATCGCCTGCCAGGCAGTTCTTAGGGTGCACATCTGTAAGCAGGGAACCTGCAGTATTCACTGTGGGAATCTCCATCCTTCCTGGGGCACATCTCTGCAAACAGGGGAATCTGGGCAAGCACTCCCAGGGCTTCAGGGACCCAGTCCCTGTGCACCCTAGGAAGGACTCTAGTGTGTGCAGGACATGTCCCTGAAGACCTGGGGCAGTTCAAGAGGGCAGGCAGCTCTGGACTGCTCTGCCCTCCCACCATAAAACAAATAGACACCTGCTGCAAAAAAAGCAGCACAATTTTATACCACCTAGATATTGTGGCCACAAATGCTGTGGTGCAACAAGAGGTAAGGATGTCTGTTTGCTAGACCTGTGTGTCACCACATAATTTGTATGGCACCACAAAGGAGCCATTTGTTACCAGCCTTAAAGTCACACACATGTTTAAGTATCTTCCCGAACTGGGGCTAGTTAAGCCCTGAGTGCCCGTGTGCCTACCTGGCTGTTTGGGATAGGCCACCAAAGAAATGCTAACCTACCAAAACACAACTGCTCTGCCCACAGCCATGTCCAGCAATTAGGGAGAACAAAGGGGTGCTGCTGTCCTGAGTGGCCTGTAGTGTGCCTCTTAGTCCTGCTCTCATAAGAGCCTAAGCATTATATTGGGCTGCACAATCTGGGATGCTAAGGGACATCTTCTCAGAGCCCTGTTAGTTCCACAGGTTGAAAGTGTTCTGTACTTCACTGATACCCAGGTGACTTTCCAAAATAAGCACATCAGGAGAATTTGGATGATGCATATCTATATTGGGGAAGACTTTCAGACAAACCAGCCTGACTAATCAAAACCATCTGATCTAAAAACAAACAATGTCACCTTATGTACTCAGGTGTTAATGCTACTTTTGTTAACAGCTTTAAAATATGGTTATATTCTTAAAACTATGTGAAATGGCTTACTTTTAAACACAGAGGCTCTTTATGTGAACTTTTGCTTGCATTAAACACAGCAGTGGAAGCTGTGTTGAAAACAGGAAGTTCAAAGAACTGCAACTGTAGAGCCAAATTCTTCTTTTAAGGAAGCCTCGCCAAAGCCTGCCCTGCTTTCCAAGTAATGAGCTAATAGTTGTTTCTTGTACATTTACTCCTAACCTCTTGACCACTTCTGTTACTTTACTCTAAATTCCATCCACTTTGTGAGCAACTGTCAAGCAGCAACATGTGTTGCATGTACAGCATATCAGTCAGACACCATCTTGACTCTTAATTCCATTAATATCATGAGTAAGACCCATTCTATTGTGTATGAAACCTTTTTTCTTGAAGGTTTCTCATCTGCCTGGCACTTACTATGCAGCTGGAATAAAACAGCTAGGAGGCAGCTTTATGAGGGTATTTCTCATGCATGTTAGTGGTTTCCTAAGCAAGTAGAGTAGAAAACAACCTTTACCCTTTAACCTGCAGCATCTGGTCAATCGTGTCTGGGAGAGGAATACCATAACTTTCTGGGAGGAAGAGAGTAAGGATTCCTGTCAGCACAGTCAAGCTTCCCATCAGGATGTATGGCAGGAATCTGTCATAAGCACCTGGTAAAACACAGGACATGCTAACATCAGGTATACAGTACTGTTAACTCCACCATGCAAAAATCATGAGACGAAAGATAAAAATCAGGAGATTGGTACGTAAATCATGAGATGCTATTTTTAAAGTGTGTGTGTGGGGAGGGGGTGTTATTCGTGAAGGTGTTGGGGGCTGTGGGTGTGTGGGGGGTTTGGAGCCTGGAGAGGTAGGGTCCGCACACACCTTGGCAGGATGTGGGGTACTGCAGGTCAGGAGTGAGAAGCAGCAGCAGGGCTGGGCAGGCTGTGGCTTGAGACTGAGGAGCAGACAGACAGAGACACAGATGTACAGAGACAGAAACACAGACAGCACCCAGCTGGTAAGCTGAGGGGAAGGGGCAAGGGGAGAGGGAGATCGAGGTTCTTGGGGTGAGGAAGGAAGTGGGGCAGGGGCAAATGGGGCCCCAGGGCTGAGGCACATCGCCCAGAGGTGTGGAGGAGAAGGGGAGCACAGCTCCCCACAGCAGTGCATCCCCCCGGGGACATCATGGTGGCATGTGCCCCTGCAGGGCAGAGGCTGACTGCCTGCTGCAGGCTGGGACTCTGTGCCCTGCTGCCTTTGCCCCGGGAGCTCAGCTGTGTGATGCCATTGCTACTCTGCCAGGTGGGCAGGAGATGTTGGGTGCATTGCTATGCATGGTGAATCCTCTGCCCACCTGGCGACAGGAGACACACTGGGGTTGAGCGGCTGAGCTTCTCAGGCAAAGGCAGCAGGGTACAGAGCCCAGCCCACAGCAGGCAGCTCACCTCTACCCCTCCACTGAGTCCTAAATTTCCAAATGAAACAAAGCATTCAGTGATCTTGGATTTCTAAATGCTTTCTGAGTTGAGGTTACGCACAACAAAAAGAGTAGAAGTTCTGGGATTCCACTGTAGCATGTTTGCTAGCTAACCTGAGATAGATATAAGGGAAATGCCTGGATTTTATGAAGCAAGATGAAGGAATGGCCATGAAAATATATGTTTAACCCAGTTCACTGGAGCAGAACTCAACCTATCCTTGCACTATGGTATTTTTTCTCCAGTGATACGCCATTTGGGGGGGAATACAATAACCAGAATCTTACCAAGGTACACAAAGTATGGCGAGAGGATGCTGCCCAACCTGGAGGCCATGGAACTTGCTCCAACTCCCATATTTCTCACAACTGTTGGGTACAGCTCAGCAGTGTACACATAAACCATTGAAAAGGCAGATGTGATTCCAAATTTCCCAAACATGACCAGGATAATGGACATGATTTGAAGAGCTGAAATAAAGATCCGAAAAAAAAGCATAAGCACAGTGCAGCACATCACCAGACTTATTAGTTCAAGACTTATTTTTACATTTTCTCTTGCATTAATCCCTGGTGTGTATGGCATTTGGAGTTTTGTGCGCCAACTTTCTTAATTCATTTAAAACCAGATTCTTGATAAAACAGATTTGCTTTTCTTACGAGGATATCTAGCTCTTCAAAGGTTAAGGACTGAGATGAGAGCCCTTGAGAAATGCAGAACTGGAAAGGACCTTGTGGGCTACTGAGTCCAATCCTTCACTATTACAGGCAACACTTTTAGATAATCCACTTCATGAATTGATCAAAACCCTTCTTAGAATTAGTTGAATTTTTGACCTTGCTGCACCTTTTAGAAGTCTGCTCTGACGGGTAGAAACCTTATCAAGAAGAAGAAATGTTAGCAATGTATTTCTAGGGCCTTCCTTCAATCCTAACTTGTGGAATGAATTCTGTAATAAAAACAGATCATGCCTCAGTCCAGTTGGCTTAAAAGCCAGGAAACAAAAAACATCCCCAACTCTGATCCTCTGAGGATAAGATGGTTTGGATTTTAGTTTTTTTTTTTTGCAAAATAGGTGCATATACTATGACTGATAAGAACCTGTTCAGGGTCAAAACCACTAAGGGAAAAACAATGGTAGCAATTTTACTGTACTGCGAATAGAGATCTAAAGTGATGGGACTCCAAGTGCACAGTGTCTTTCTTTAAAAATATTTAACTGCCAAATGTTCCCTTAAAAAACAGCACCACACATTTACTTTTCAGGCTTCTGCTCATCACAGACTAAGGCGGAAAATAATTGATTGACAAATGGTCCCAGTTCTCTAGGGAAAGATCACCTACTAGTACCACCCAGGCAACCCTCACGACTTCTCTACTGGCTTTACTCTGGCTGTCACAGTAGGGTTTGACTGCGGCAGCATAGGAATAAACAGTGTTCGAGAAAGAAAAGACTCAGGAAAAGACCTGATGTCTTATTCAAGCTTCTGGAGCCACAGAGGTGGAGGAGAGGGATAAGGATATGAAAGGACCATCTGCATTTGGTCCACAAGATTCCTCTCCTTCACATCTACCAAGTGCTCAGCACTAGATTTCACACCTATAGTATATGAGTTTTATATCAGCTAAAAGGTCCATACATGCAGGCACCAGCTGAATGAAGAGAAGAACACAGCCTCCCAAGAACAACGCAGCTGATATTGAATACCGTCGGGGAAGATTTCGGAGAAGAAGCCAGGAAATAACATAGGCTGGAACTTCGGTAACCGCCGAAAGGAAACAGTTTAAATAGGCATCTCCATGCAAGTTAGGAGTGTCAAGTGAGAGACCAAAATAGCCGACAGAGATTATCATCCTAAAAGACATGAAATAAAGGAAAGAATCAGACTACTTGGCTCCTCTCCCTCTGTCTATGACCAATCTGCCAAAAGCCACTCACGTTATTATGGAGCATTCATTTAGTGCCTAATTAATTAACATTGATTTAATGCCTACCAGGCTCTCTCACTTCTGAAACTAGCCTCAAAAATGTATCCTGCAGGGAACAGTCAGACAAGGCTTCTCAAGACTTAAATTCTTTGTCCAGTTTTTCCTTGAATTGAAAGCAGTTTCTGAAAGCCCTAAAGGCTAACGTGACTGGAGGATTCCAGGGGAATTTTGCTGGTGCCCACGTACATGAAATCACAACCTACTGGAAAGTCACTATTGCTGAATGTTCTTACGGGAACAGTGGCTGCATACAGCTTCCGCTGTCTTAGACCAAGTATGTATCTAGTTCTCTCCAATTATACTGCTGTAGCAAAACCAGTTCATGCACGTGTCATTCCTCAATGAGGCAGCATGGGCCCTTGCTCACTGAGATGCTTCCTGCCAGCACATACGGCTTTTAACACAGAGCTGAACAATCTGGATGGCAGAGTTAAGGGTATCAGTCATGTTCGAGATGCATGACTGTTCACTGCAATACTAAAACCACTGAAAAATAATTACAGGCTTAGTATAAAAGCTCAGGGTTGGAGTAGTGAACTTGGCTAGCTTCCAAAGTTAGGACACAGCCTTGATGAGATTTTTATTAACTACGGATAGTGAAGGGCAAAAGGGAATGCTGGGCAGAGGGAGCTGTGCTCAGAGAAAGAAAACTCTGACTGCTCTTTCCGCTGACCTGCGTGCTTGGGGTGGTTTTGCAAAGCAAGGGAGCTAGAACCTGGGGAGGGAAGGTTATGTTTCACCAGCAAAAGGACAAACACTAGACTAGAGAAATGGGGAGTTAATGACTACTGGCTGTCTCTGAATGAATACATATGCGCTCTCCTTTACCATTAATTGTAGCACTGCCCACAGCCATCAACCAAATCAAGACCTACAGTGCTTGGCACTTTGCTTGGCCCAAAGTAAATAATCACCGTACTATAAAAAGCTTGAACTCTGAAAAGACCACCTCTTTTCCCTTCTAGCTTCAGGCACAGCTAAAAGGCTTCATGATTCAATTGCTTAAAACAAAATAAGGAGCTTTTGGTATACCTGCGGAGACATGAACAGGCCCTTTGTAAAGCAACATGACTAAGAGGAAAAGCTAAGAGGTCACTATGACCTAGCAAGTTTCCTCCCATAACCTGAAAGCCAAAGCTTTGCCTGGCCGAAGAATTATTGTTCAAAGACTTTAATGAGATAGACAAACAGTTCTCCCAGCAAACTCTCCCTTTGAAACCTGCTGCTGACTGAATTTCCTTCTGTGCCATATGCAGATCTGCACGTTCACAAATTAAGCCCAAGAGACTACCCAATTCAGGGCTCCTTGCACCAATGCAGTTTACATTAGGCTGTCACACTCGAGAAAACAAGTTCTCATAGAGGGATTCACACATTACTTAATGATGTGGTTTCCCACTCCTGACCAATGAAAGAGACTGGAAAAGGGATTAGGCAAAAGGTCTGTTGTAGGCTTATTGCCTCTGAACCAAATCTCAAATGGTCTGAGATGGGTGATGTTTGGGAGGGAGTCACCCTAAAGTATAAAATATTAGATCCACAGTTCATAGTCCAGAACCATCTTTACATTATTCACAGAGGAGGAAACAGTGGTCAGCTTTTCCAAAGTAAAAAAGACACTATGATGACTGCTGGCTGTGAACTCAGAGGACAGGGAGGTCAGGCAACTCTTCCAAAACCAGCAGAATTCCCATCATCAGTGCACACTGCATGTGCTGGACACAGACATTTTAACACTAGGATTTTCCAATTGAATACTCTCTGCATGAAGTAAGCATATCTGGAATATGGCAAGAAGACATCAGGCTTGAAATAGTTTTCTTCAACAAGTGAAAAGCAAGCTGGGCTAAATAAGTTAATGGGTTCAATACTTTTCTCATATTCACTATCTAATTAAAAATGTGATAAAGTCACTTATGGAAATACTATTTACAGACTATATAATAATTGTGGTTCTTTGAGAGGCTCTTCTTTCAGGCCTGTGTGTGAGGGAAGGGGTGCAGAAATAATGAGGGTCAGGCTTTATATATCCTCCTGCCATCCTCTGATTCAAGGTATGTCATTTAAAGATATGCAACCAGAGTAAAATCCACCTCTGTACAGAAGCAGCCCAAGGATTACTTACCATAACGATACACAGAGGGCCAGTGGGGCTGAAGCTTGTCAGCCAGTCTTTGCAATATAAGGGAAAC